GGGGGGGGGAGCTGGGACACCGAGGAGGGAAAACCCTCTAGTTTGCAAAGGCTCTGTTTTGATGAGCACTTGATCTGAGGGAAGAGGGAGGCTTGCAAGATGGGCACTAGAAGAAGTTTTTAGCTAGAACTTGCCTTCCTGCACAGATGAAAGTTCAGAAGCCTGCCCTTTGTAAAGCTTTGCTTTGCCCAGCCCTGCTTCAGGGCTTCTTGGCTCTTCTTCCTTTCTTAATAAAAAGCTGTAATGCTTCTATATCTTTTAGTACAGTTGTTGAAACTGGCTTTCTCGGCCTCTTTGTGAAGCTGGGTTTACCCTGGCAGCTTTCTCTTCGGTTTGTGTAGATTGTCTTTACGGACACATAAATGTCTCTTCAGATCCAGAGAAGGCAAAGCCATGCTGCATGTACAGTGCAGTGAGCTGGGACAGGCCTAGCTGCCCTCTAGACAAGGGGTTTCAAAAGCATAGATGCAGATGGCAAACACCTAGGAAGTGGCATTTGCCAGTCTTTGCAACTTCTATCCTTTCTCTTACAGATCCAGGTGTGGGACACAGCTGGTCAAGAACGCTTCCGGACAATAACCCAGTCTTATTACAGGAGTGCCCATGGGGCCATCCTTGCCTATGACCTTACTAGGAGGTCCACGTTTGAATCCATTCCTCACTGGATTCATGAAATTGAAAAGTATGGTGCTGCAAACTTGGTCATGATGTTAATTGGTAGGAATCTAATTTTAAATTGTTGCTTACCTTCTTTTAATACATGCATAAAACCCTCTCACTACCCCCCCCCCCACACACACACACTTAAAGCATCTATAAACCATTCATTAAAGAAGAATGCAGCTGTAATTAAAATAAATCAGAAACTGTTTCAATTTGACCCAAGCTTAAAAAATTGGGGAAGTCGGAGCCTGGTCCTGACAGGACCAAGCCAACTGCAGACAGTGAAACCCTTTTACTTGTTCCTTTCCTGCTGGAATAATCCAACAAACTTGCTGCTAGGCCCGCAAGCAGGGACAACCTCACTGAGGTTAGAGTGGCAGCGAGTCTGACCCTATACTCCTGGTGCGCAGGAATTTAGCGGCTCAATAATTCAAGATGGGAGTGCACAGAGCAACACAACCCCTTGTTCTCATCTTTCCTCTCTGTTCTTTTGATGTGCATACACATTGCTCTGTAATGGGACTCCGATCAGGTAAGACAGTAGATGGGGACATGGCTTTTACAGAGCACAAAGTCATTTGCTTGCATTCCTCCTCATTTATTCCACGAGCATTCTGGAAATTTTGCCTCTTGAAGAAAGCAATGGGTGAAAATTTCTGAGAATGCAGCTGGTAGGAAGCAGTGTGGTTCTTTCCCTTTGTGTTTCAGGTCATTATATTGCTCTTCCCTCCCCCAAGGAAGAAGCTGCTTTTATTTACATTCCACTGCTTGGTCCTGTTCCACTGTGGCACTGTGCCGAGGGCAAGGCATGCAGCCGCAGCAGCCCAAACTGGCTCTTGAGGACAGGCAGCGCTGAGCCCCACAGCGCAGCAGGCATGGGACTGAGGCTTCTGCTTGTGCTCCTAGCAAATTACTTGCTTCTGCCGTGGTGCTTCTTTTCTGTTCTTCCTCTGAAGAAACAAATTCTGACCTGCATGTAACTGCAGTGCTTGGAATGAGTAAGGCGGGGGGAAAAAAATATTGCTAAACTTTAGTAGTGTTTTTCTAACTTTTCTCTTTAATCTAAAGAACGAGACCTTTTGTGTGTCTGGTCGAGGTGGGGTTTTTTGTTGTTGTGTTTTTTTTTTAAAAAAAAACAGTTCTGAAATTGGTAAAAATAAAGCTTTTGTTAAGGATCCAGCTTGGTGCTTTCTTCCAAAGCCAGTGCTGCTTGCTTTGCTTACTTTGGCAGGAAGTCTTTGTACTTTTAATTGCATCTAGTCATGTTATACCCCTTTGTAGCATGAAGGTTAAGAAATCTAATTTTCCCATCTGGAACTGAAGGAGGAAAGGGGGGTGGGCGGGCACTTTAAGAAGGCAAATAAGTCTCAAGCAAGGTGTTTTTTTGGGGGGTCATGGTTTTCTTTTGTGGGTTTTGGTGGTTTGTTGACTTTTCTTTTCCTTTTAGAAAAACTGGAAGGGACTTAATGGGAGGGGAGTTGGTTTATATATGCTTCAAATCCAAGACCTGAATTTGATGAAAGGTTGTCTTGAAAGTATGAATGTAGACTTCAGCCAGGTACTGCATGTACCAGAACAGATGATAATTCCACACATGTTGCAACTACTTAAAATGCCTTTGTATATTTATCTGAGGTGTTTCATGACTTCTGACAGATTTGGACTAAACTGCTTAGAGTAAAAGTTTAATCTAGATGTGCAGAAACTTCCTAAGTACACATTTGAAGCATTAAGGTAGCTGGTGTGAACTCCTTGTCTTTTTTGCTATCATCTTAAAATTACTGACTTGTATAAATAGGTCATGTTAAAATCTAATTAACAGTTGAGCAGGTTCTTCCTGGGTTTTGGTGGGGTGTTTTTTTGGAGGAGATCTGCTTTAGATTAACAATGTTACAGATCTTTAGAGCTGAGCATCCACTTTGAGATGTGTCAAAGTAGCTTGACAATAGCCTAATATATGTGGCTTCCACTGAAGGTGGAATAAACCTTTATGCAACATTGCTTTGGTTTACTGTGTGCAGTAACTATAGGGCCAAGGTTTCTAAGATTTATATTTTTTTAAAATATTTAACTTAAATGCTACCTAATGTTTAAAAACACTAGGGAACAGGGACCAAATGTTGCTTCCAAATAATCCTCTGGCACCACTATCTACAGCAAGTAATTGGATAAATACAAGTTTTGAGGTTTTGGGGGGTTTAACTCATTTGATATCATTATATAATTAGCTGCAGTTTTGACCCACATTCTACGTTCATGACTGATATGCTCACATCCTGTTTTTCCAGTAACTCTAATTCCTGACAGAATTATATTATTTAACAAAATTGCATGAATGTATTGCGTTTAAAGATGACTTTTTTTTGAGAGAGAGACTAACTCATTGAATTATCTATTTGCCTTCTTTTAAGGGAACAAAGCAGATTCACTGGATAAGCGCCAAGTCCTGTTTGAAGATGCCTGCACACTGGCAGAGAAGCACGGGCTCCTGGCTGTACTGGAGACATCGGCAAAAGAAGCTCAAAACATAGAAGAGGTTTTCACGTTAATGGCTAAGGAGCTAATAGCCCGAAATACTTTACAGCTTCATGGAGAGAACCCTCCGAACAACATCTATCTTGATTCCCGGCCAGTGATTGCCAGTCCAAGCGAGAAGAGCCAGTGCCTCTGTTGAAGAGAGACTTCAGGAAGAACTTGGAAGTCTTCATTCTTCTGAGGCTGTTTCATTTTGTTTTGTGCAATTGATGAAAGTGTGGTATGTGGCCTCAAGCCATCTCTCTGATATCTCTACCTTGGAGTTTGGCTTGTAAGTATCTTCAGAGATTGTTGTTGCTGTTTGTAGCACAGGTTGCTTTGAACATGGCAGCTGATCCTTTAACATGAACATCTGAGCTGAGAGGACTCAAGAAGCTGCCAGCCCTTGCCTTAACCAAAGAGAACTTTAAAAAAAAAAAATTGCCTTTAATTATATCCTTAAATGATTTTCTGGCTGTGTCAGAAGACAAATTTGCACCAGAGCTCTGCATTGATTTGATCCTTCTAAGCTATGTTGTTTGTTCTAGTGCAAGCACTTTACTCCTTGCCAGCAGCTTTAAGAAGTCTGACACGTGCTTGGATAGCACTAAACCATTGCTACTTAAACTTTCGTTTAGGGGTGGTCCTGATATCAGGGCTGTAGCCACCCATCCCAAAGAACACAATAGAGTACATGATTTCACATCCGTACCGATTTCCTTGCCAGACAGACGTGGAGTCGTCTCTGGGGTTTCATAGCAGGCAGACTATGATACACTAGGGTCCCAACCTTCTTCCTGGGGTGAGAAGTTGTCTTCCATTTTGTTCTCTAATTACAAGAATTGTTTCCAGTAGCGATCTCTGTCTTGCTACGTAGACTTGCTAGGAGTAGGCACCAGTAATGGCCTAAAGTCAATGCTGGGGTGAAGGGACTGTGTTGGGTTTTTTTTTGTCCTCTGAACTTTATCTTGATTTTTGATGTACTGATTTTAATCAAAAGCCTTCTGTAGTTTGTGCGATGGGCCAAAGACAGCCTGAGAGTATTCCTGTAGATTTTCAAGGGAGGGTGAAGAAGGGATTCAAGCTCCTGCACAACTCAACAAGGGGTAAGATGGTTTAACTGTGTAACCTTACCTTAGAGCAGTACGGGAATGGTATGGGGCATCCAGAAAGCTACCACTAGGCAAGTATATATATGGTACTGCTATGGAGACTTAATATCTTGGTAGCGATAGAAGGCTTTGTATTGCTCCTCCCAAATGCAAGCTCTGCTTCTGGGGGCTCACTGCTTCTATGTACTGGAACCGAATGACGGGGTTTTTGTTTTGGGTTTGGTTTTGTTTTGTTTGTTCAGTAGATGGGAATAGGGAAGGAGAGGGAGGAAAGAAATATTATAGAGGTAAATTTTTGACTACAGTCCTTTTGTACCAAAGTATCACTTCCTAGGTAGTTACTGTTAAGCTATAAACTGGAAATCAGACCCTGTAATGCTAAAATACAGTCTGGGTTACATGCAAAGAAGCCCTGGGAGGGCTGGTACACTGCTAGCTTAGCAGATGGTAGTGTACCACGTTTCCACAAGTTCTTGAAAAATAGGGAAAAACATGTAGCAAATATTCTGGAAAATCTTGTCTGAGAAGTACAAAAAATAAAGTAGGATGAATCACTGATCTATAGTCTTGCAAATATTTCTAATAGTATTAATGTTCCCCCTGGCCAGTTTTTTTGCTACCACATGTGAAGAGTAGGAGTTAATTCAGCTGTGTGGAAACTGAAGGAGAAATCTTCAATGCCAGTGTCTAAACCTTTTTCTAGAGCTGGCTAAGAAAGCTTCATCTTCTTCAGGCGTCCTCTTTCTGATCTGTTTTCTTTTTAAATTTTAATTTCATCCTGATTTAGTATTAGCCCAGTAGTTGCATTTCAGTTTGGTGTTTACTGCTGCTTAAATATGCATAACCTTTCAAAGTAGCTGAACAAGTAGCAATCCAGCTTCCGAAAAAACTAGTTTCTACACCTCAGCACTAGAAACGGTCAAATGTAAGTTTAATATTCTTGTGTGTTTAAAAACCAATCTACTCCCAGTAGTATTTTGTAATGTAGCAGGTTGGTTTGTTGGGTGTGGGTTTTTTTTTTTTAGCATCCACACTTAGAACAAAGTTTGCTAGCAGTTTATTTCAGATACACCAGAGAGAGTATTTGCAGCAAAAACTAATCTTCCAGGAGACCTTGACAGAGAAGTACTGTGTTCATCTCCAGTTACACTATTTCATTAGCCAAGACTTAGAGGAAGGATCTTACCAGCGGAGTATTAACCTCTGTATGGTTCACTTGACTTACTGCCTTAATTAGAGATTACTGTATGAAGTTCTTTTGCTTACCCTTAGCATGGAGGCTTCTGCAGGCTGATGTTCCCTGAACTGCCCAGCACTGACAGGTTACAGGGCTCTTGCCATTCTCTTCCTGTACACACACGGAGCCACTTGCAGAGCAAGTCCTTCACTGGCAGAAAGCTGTGCAACATGGGATGACGGAGAACAGGCTTGTGATTGTGCTTTGAGCTCCATCACTCCCATTCCTTTAACAGGTGTAACAGACTCCTCGCTGCCCTTTCAAGAAACTAGTCTTAAATATCTACCCGCTGTGCAATTAAAACAGCAGTGTGACCTCTTCTGTTCGGTTCTTCCACAAGCCCTCTGGACAGTTACACTGAATGGCTTCCATAGGGTCATTTTTTAAGCTGCCCCCATGCGAATGAAGAGCAAGCTGCAGCTGTTGCTAACAAGAAGGTTCTTCAGAGTGTGCATTAGTAAAGTGTTACTCACAAGGTAATATGCAAAGAAAGCCATAAACTTAAAAAATCCCTTTATTATAGTATGTTATCCTAGATTCTAAGATAGCAACCACTAGATTAAAAAACAGGCACAGTGTAACTTCTGCAGTTGTACCTTTCCCCATCACAGAGCAGCTGGAAGCCTGCAGCTATGACAATGCAAGACACATTAACTGCTATGGAAGCTTATATTAACGTGTTTGTTTCCCCAGCATCATATGCAAATCCAGTGTGCATCATTAATGCACTTGTAGTAAAGTGTAGTTTATTGTAATGTTGCTTACAATGCTAGTCTAAAAACTACAACTGTCCCACAGTTTTAAGAGCTGCACATCCAGCTGGAAAATGAGCTTATTATTTTTATCTACTTGGAAGGCGTAATTGAACAATACTTGCATTGATATCCCACCCATGCCACGTGAGACTGAAGCAACACCTATCCACATAACAGGGTAACAAAAAAACCCACCAGAAGTATTTTACAGTGGAGCAAACTGACACCTCTCAGAAGCTGACTGGCTTAAAAGCAATCACAACTGCAACTGAGTGATGTGGAAGGTACATGGCACTGCCTATGTGGTCAAGCTTTTCTTCACATGTAGGGGACAGGCTCTTAATAACAAAAGCTGAGGTTCTTATCTAACCATGCCGGTTAATGTTTAAGTATAGTTGGAAAGGAGACAGAGAAAGCAGTTTGGAGGCCCTGAACAGAGACAGCTCTATCCTGGAGCCTTCTTTCAGAAAAAGAGATGCATTCCTGTGCTTTTGGACAGGGAAGTGAAACTGAAGCTCCCCCAGCCAGGTGAGTGCTCTAACTACAGCATTGTTTAGAGATGCCCCTTCCCAGCTGTGGGCTTTGTTTATGTATTTCAGTTACCAGAACACCACACTCTGCTCCAGACAGGGGGGCTTTAATAGTCATTGCTCAGTGTACTGACTCTTGAAGCCACTTTCAAGCACCTTTCAAGGACTGGATCTACAACAGCCAATGCTGGGACACCAGAGTCCTGTGAGAGTAGTTTTAGACAGGCCAAGAGGCCCTTTTTACTTAAGAGTACTTCAACTTTTGATAGGAACTTGCAGTTTAAGAAAGGTAGGACTTTTCAAAGTCTCTTAAAGCACTTCTTCTAGTGCTGTAGTTCTAAAATCAACCTTAATTCAGCTGCCTGTACAGACTCTGTCTATGCAATCACATCAAGCTGTTGCCAAACAGGTTTTAACTCTGGCTTGACTGCAGGTGACAAAGAGCACACCCATGGATAACAGCAACAGCAGCAAGTAGAGGCAGAAATTTAGCATATTTGCAATCCCACATTTCCTTGCTACAGCTCTGTCCATGAACATTGCTGCTTATTAGTTTTCACTGCCAAGTCTGTCTAGTTTTGTTTACCTAAGGCAAGACTCACCACAACTACAGTTTAACACTAGCATTAGATTAAAACTGACTTTGTAGCAACTTGATCCCTACAAAGCAGTCCTGTATTGTATCTCAATCATAAGGGACTACATGTGGATTCCTTCTTTTTAAACTGCTGTAGCATTAATAATGCCATCTATACAAGTTTTGTTCCAAACATGAGACACCCCATATACCTCATGGTATCCTCCAAGCAGAAATTTATTTTGTACCTGCTGTCGCAGGAAAGAGTTACTTTGTTTTTCATTAAATGAATCAGGCACCCCCCCTCAGCAAGATTACAACACACCTTGTGCTATCAAGATTTGAACTACAGCAGCAGAGGTTGTAAAGAAGTGGTGTTTGCTTCTGTGATCACATTCAGACCAACTAGAATGGGCAGCAGGGACTGACTTCGCACTTACACATGATGCAAAATTTTAGATCAAACCATACACGTATGTTCTTGCATAGGGAGTAAAGTCAAGGCAATTCAAGTGAGAGCAGGCATCTTTAGAAAAAGATTTTTGTTTTGAAATCAAGATTTTGCTGGTGGAACTTTGAGTTTTTATACCTTTGTCATCTTAACACTACTCTCATTGGCCTCTTCAGTTTCTGTACCTTAGGAATTTGCTTAAAGAATACACAGCACAGCCTAAGTTGTCACCCTCCATATTTTTTACATTAAAAGCTTGCCTTAATTCTACTGCCTTTATTCCTGTTCTTACAGAGGAAAGACATAGCAGCCCACTAACATACTTTACTCATTTCAAAGGCCCTACTCTTTTCAATTGTTCCACTTTGGGGTGGGAAATCATAATGCAACAGGAAGCTTAGAAACAGGCCTACCAACAGCAAGATTCAAACTCAAAGTGACACATAGCAGTATTGCTTGATGACAAATACACACAGTTCTTTAACTCAGAGAACAAGAACCACAGCACACTTCAAAGCAAGAGATCAACAGAAACTACTCATCA